CTGAATATAAGAATCGTGTTTTTGTTACCTTAGAATGAGATGAGCGGTTCCTCTTCTACGGAACCGTCATGTTTTTACAGTAGCCCAGAATGGACAAACCAAACACTGGCTCTAGATACGGCCTTTTGTGTTTTTCACATTTTAATGGCCACAGTGGCTTTTCCTTAATGTTTGGAAAAGGAGGGTGAAACGAGGGAGTTGCAATCTGCAACTACACTGCTACATGCCACTAAATCCAACACACTGGCCCTTTAAATTAAAAAGTTTGCATGCTACTTACTTTTCCTTTGAGTACTTTTTTAACCAATGGGTTATTAGGAAAGCATAAAAAGTAAAGTAATAGAAATAACAATTATGAATTTCCATGAGTTAAAGAAATAACTTATACTGCGGCATTTAAGGCAAACATTGATTCATTTCAACAAGAAAGCAACAGAATTATTGTATTAAGATAAGGGTATAGTTTTAATGATTATACAGTGGTGTTAATGTGGGAACCCAGTCGGTTTTAGTCCATAATTATCCAGGTTTGTTTTTGTGTATTAATGTAACTTGAGATCAGGTGGATAATGTTTCAGTGTGTGCCAGAATGCTAAAATCATTATATATACGTAAGTCAATTAAAGGTTAATTTAAATAAGTCTAGAAACGTACAAACATTACACTGACACCGACATGCATATTGCCTCCACTCTAGTAAGTAACAGTAAGGAGTATGCACTGATAAGAGAGATAAAATCATTTTGTATTTGTCACCAACAGTAAGATGATGGAGCTGGAGGAGCAACAAGACACCAACAAAATGCTGATGCAGGAGCTGAAGGATTTACGCTCTGCTCATCAGAAGGAGGTAAAGGAACAAAGTTTAGGAGAGAAACATACAGAGATCAATGCGGCTCTGCCACATTTTGGGTTTGTGAGTAACAAGTCAGTTGTTACAGCGCTGCCTGTGGGAGATAGTGAAGCTCTGAAGTGTAGCTCCACTATTCCAAAGCAATATCAAAGGGTTTTGCGAATGTGCTGACAGAGGGAAAGCAGAAAAAGTGTCAGAATGAATCAAAACCTCCATAGAAACTGCATGATGATTCCTGTTTTCTGTGTGCACACTTTTGTTTGCTTGTTAGTTGCAACTAATAATTTTCATTATCATTGAAACTGCTAATTATTTTCTTGATTAATTGATTGGATTGCTTGGTCTATAAAATGTAATGAAATAGTGAAAAATGCCAAAATTGACGTATTCAAACTGCTTGTTTTGGCTTAAAAAAACATATTTAATTTATGTATTACGCAAGCAAACCAGCAAATATTTACATTTGAGAAACTGCAACCCGTGAATAGTTTTTGCAAAAGATTACTTAAAACTACTAATCAAGTATAAAAAGTGTCGCTCATTATTTTCTGTCACTTGGCTAATTAATTGACTAATTGTTTCAGCTATATTCAAATTCTAAACACACATTTTGGGTGAAGTATTCCCTTAAAACCTAAATAAATGATGTGCCCACTTATTGCGATCTTTAAGTCTTTTAGTACGCAAGTTCATATCAGGTCACATAAAGACTAACAATGTAGCAAAATAGTCATTTTTATTTTTCAATGACAGTATGAGCATTAAAATATCTGTAAAGTACCAAAAGGAAATGTACTTACTATTCAGAATGACCCATTTCAGAAGTGATGAATTAATGTGTAAGCATCAATAATGTTGCAGCTGGTAAAGCTGGAGCTAATGTCAACTACTTTATATACTGTCAGGTAGCTTCATGTATAATAAAACATCATAATTAAATATTAGATGTTCTCTATATTTTCTGTTAATGATCTGAGGAGATATAAAACAGGTAAACATGATGGCTCCTGTTGCTCAGTGGTTGTTGTGTCACTTTTGTCCAGCAGATGTCAGGATTGGACACTTTGTTCAACTCTGCTTAGCTCTATTCTGCTTGAGTGCTAATAGATAAATAATGGCCTTTTAATGGTTTTATAATGAATGTGGAGTATTTCTCTTTGTCAAGCTTGCAGCCAAGTCCTCCAGAAACAATGCAGCACAACATCTTCCTTCTGCCAGCTCCTCCAATCAGAAGTAATGGATTAATACTGTTCATGCTTTTCTCAGGCTAGTTCAGGTCAATGTGTCAGCAAGACAGTTAAAAACTGTGAATAACAAGTCTGCTGCTCGATTTAGCACAATTAATAACATGAAACATAAAACCTTGAGGTTAAAATGTATGCGCTGTGGCCAAATTTTAAAAAACTCCAACCACCCCAGAGAACACACTAACTCAGATTTTGCTGGCATTAGGTTTGTATTAATGTGTGTTGAGTCTGGGCATCAGTGAAACATTCCTACACACTGTCAGGATTTTTTTATTTACACTTGGCCTCAAAGACTCACTCCCTTACCGGCCCCTGTTTCAACCAGTACATCAAACAGCAAACAATCCAGGTAGTACAATGATCCCTCCTTTCTACGAGACAGCTGCACACATCCAAGAGAACAAAACAACAGACCGCCCTGTCAGTGAGAAACTTCATGAGAACATTTATTTGTGGTGGATCAGCTCAGTGAATAATGGTGGAAGTCTGACCCTATTGCATTCTCTCATCTTTCCAGATGACACAGGCGAGTTCACCAGTCACATACCACATTTGTCCTTGTAACTTCCTGCTCTGTTGTTGTCTTGAGCTCATCCTGGCTGAGGGGGAAGTACAGTGATGTTGTCTTGTCTTTGAGGTGAGGGAGCTGCAGCAGGAGAACGAGGGGAGTCTGAGGAAACTGCAGGAGACAGCAGAGCAGTTTGAGTGGCTCTGTCAGCAGCAGCGCTACTGGATGTGCTGTGTCAAGAGGTGGGTGCTTTGTCCCTGAAGTGACTCTTACAAACACACACAGAATCTGATGTGAATTACTTTTAGAGGACATTAAAGGCCCTGAAAACCACATGTCCTAATTGTAGCGACACATCAAACTATTAGCTGGTGGTTGCACATAAAAGATTTCTGGATTTGTCCATTGTCTGTGCTCTCCTTAGTGGCTTCAACTGGGCAGGCCAATGCTGAAAGGAGGTAATGTCAGGTATTTTCACATGCCAATGAGAATGGAAAGGAATAGTTCATCATTCACGTCTACTTCACAAGAAGTCAGTGGCAAACAAAACCTAGCGTGTGCACATAACGTCACATAATGTTAAGTAATGAGGTTTAGAGGTGTTGGTAGGCAGTTTTTTTTAGCCATTGGAGCCAGGCTAGCTGTTTCCCCTTTATGCTAAGCTGAGGTAAGCTAAGCAGCATCTGTATCAAAGTATTCCTTTAACCATTTTAAATGTATAAATAAGGATTGATTGCTGATTATTTAGTAAGAAATATTTAATGTTGTACAGAAATACTTATTTTGTCCATTGTATGCATGTGTTGTGACCTGCTATGACCTCAGCATTAGAAAGTACAAGCTCTTCTGCAGAATGTTGCTTCTTTATGGGAGGCTACCCATCCTACACATTTATATCTTTTTACTTAAATTAGACACAAACTTGCTGTGTTTTGCACATTAAACATCTGAATTTACTTAAATGATGAAGAGACACAGAATCACTCACTACAGGGGTATAAAATCCAGAGTGCAGGGATTTTATAAACCTATATCATCTTCTAAACCTTTCATCTATATCCGCAGATTCAAAGTCTGCCTGATGGAGGAGAGAGAAGCTCTGCTGCGACAGGTCAGCATGCTGGAGAAGAAACTGAAGAAGAGTTTACACAATGACAGTCCCCCAAAGAGCGTCCTCTGTCCCCTCCAGGACACTCAGTGCTGTGACAGGTAAGAGAGAGCCAGTGAGCTATAAAGTACATCAGACACACAGACAGTAAATAGATAGATACAGCATACAGTATACGTATCTCTATGATAAATCTACACATCTTTTGCCAGAAATCAGCTCTGGAGTGTTTTAAAAACACACTCCCACTGGGAATGAAATAAAGAAAACAAAATTCCTCATTTTTATACATTTTCCACTTTGGCCCACCCCTGCATGCTTTCCAGTACAGCATAAATTTACAACACATCTAAGCTGCCTTTCTTTTGAAGCAGTATAACATCGTGGGATGCAGATGCAGAGGCTGACCTCAAGTCTCAGGTGGAGAAGTCAAACACGCTGTACGAGGAGCTTTTTAACCAGGTACCAGTTTAATGTGTCTGCCCAATAGGGTTCTTAATGGTCTTAATGGTTTCCACAAACTCTTTGAAAAAGAAAAAGAAATTGCCTCATCGTTCTGCTTAACCCCTCTATATGCACCAGCTCAGTGTTTTGAAATCTTTTGGTGGAAGACATGTCCAAACCTCAGGGGTGGAATATTATTAGGGAGGGCTAATATTCATCTGAATATTGTTGCCAGGCCTCAGAGGAGTTGCTGTTGTTCCAGAAATTAGAGTTGCATCTTCAACGGGGGTGGCTAAGTGTGTTTGTCTGTCTTCTGTAGACTTTTAAAAATAAAGAGTCTTTGAGGTATCTGTAGGGGTCCCTAAAATCTCTCCTGGAGCAATAACTGTTTGTCTGACTTCCACAAAGCTCTCTTATGTGCAACTTATGATTTTCTTCATTATCGAGTAATCTGCCTGTTATTTTCTCCATTATTTGATTTTGTTTTGTCTATAAAATGCCTGCTTCCCACAGACCAAGAATAAGTATTCAGATGGCTTGTTTATTGAAACTGCCTAAAACCCAAAGATATTAAGTTAATGACCATATATGATAAAGAAAAGCATCAAATCCTCACATTTGGGAAGTTGGAAAAATAAATTGTTTGACATTTTTGCTGGAAAAATAACAAAAGTGAAATCTGCAGTAGGTAACTTTTTATAAAACACAGATAATCTGTGAATTGTTTAGGATCCCCTAGATCCTCCTAGTGCTCCTAATGGCATTCACAAAAATCCACAGGGTCTGAATGAAAACCAATCTGAGAGCTGAGAAAGATAGAAAGACAGTTTTGGTTGGTGGCTTGAAGATAGCTCATTCCTAGTGTCGGTATTTGCCAACCTGGAAATGAAACTCAACAATTAACTTTCCTTCCTGATATTTCACAGATTATCTGTCTCATGTACTACTGTCAGGATATCGTGAAAGTTTTAGAAAATATAACAAAAACATTTTAAGAAAAATGACCTACTGCAGCTTTAATCAACTATGAAATTAGCTGCAGATTCAGTTTCTTTCGATCAACTTATCGAATAATTGCCACTGCTCTAATGTGACGGTTCTTAAAAGAAACTCTGTTGGCTGGCTTTGAATTTTACAAGAACCCGGACAACCCGGATGAACCTTTATTTTAAGAGTGACCCCTTCTATATTAAACATTTCTGGATCAAAGACAAGGACTGATCTGAAGACTGAAATAGAAGACATCCAAAAACACAGGGCTAATATTCATCTGGGCGAGACTGCCAGTCGCTACAGGGGTTGTCACACAGCCAGAGCTCTGAAACTTCATGGGTACTGGAGTCTCATCTTTGTTTTTGTCTTTTAAAGGTTGCTTGACAGCCTTTATGCAATCATTGGGTAACCGCAGAATGTTCCTTAAAGAAGACCCAAATGAAAATCACTGACAGTATGTTTCCTTTGTAAGAGCTTTTGTGGAAGTATATGAACGCCACGTTTCTACTGAACATTACAGCGGCTATAATCGATATTTTGATACAAACAGTATTTCAAATAATGATGTGAAAACAATGTGACAATATGAAAGGGGGCACTCGTAGTGATGAACCTACAGAGATTCTGATTCTGCAGCTCCACTTGGCTTTCTTGAGCTTTGAGTTTCAGCTCGCCGTTACGGTTTTGGCTGTAGCAGGCAGCTGTTTTCAGCAAAAAAGCTCCTAAAGCACAATGTACATTACCTCTTCAGCACCAAACAGCAGACAGACACAGTTAGCAACTAGCTGGTGAACATTTACTTCCCTCAGTCGGCTGGTGGAGGCCGAAAACAGCTAAAAGAGAGTGAAAATCAGATTTAAATTCATCAAGTGGACAGAAACAGTGGACAACAAATTGGTTATTGCAGGGTTAAAAGGGGCAGTTATAAACTCTTTAAACAGCCTTCCCCAGGCCTATTTTACTCTACCTATTGGCTACAGTTCATTCAGATGATCAGTCAGTGTTTCAAAATCTCTGAATCAGAGGAGACAAGTTCAGGTCCCGGGGGTGAAATATTAGAAATCCAAAACACAGGGCTAATATTCATCTGGGCACAGCTGCCAGTCCGCAGTGGGCTTGTTGTGGTGCCAGGATTTAAAAAAAAGAAGCTGAACCTTCAAGGGCATTGAAGTCCCATCAGTGTTTTTATTTTGTCTGTCTGCTGTATATTTTAACAAGGACATACAATACAGTGTTCAGCAGTGTTGCAGAGACAAGTGGAAGAACAGCCACTAGAGGGCACTTAGGCTATCTATGAATAGCATTTTAAATGAGTACTTTAAAACAAGGGAATTTATATCAGTATTCAAAATAAACACTTACAATGAGCTAGAATAGAAGAAAGAATATGCTACAAAATTAGCCCTATAACTTCATAGAGGGAGGGGGCATAATCAGCAGCTTGTTTGCCTTTCACAACATTTGTCTTTCTAGTTTTAATAACTGAAATATTTAAGAACCTTTTCTTGTTGCAATAGGTCTTTACTTACTTATTTCACTGTAAGCAGGGATGATCAGTGTGTTTTTTCCACTGGAAATGCACATTTTTAGGTACACTGGGGCATAAAAATGTGTGTAAAAGTTTCAACTGATTCACCCCTTTTTAAAAATCTACAAATTTAAATAGAAAATGACAAGCCTTAACAGTAATTCCACTATATTACAACTTGGGTCTTATTAATGTAGTTTTTGGCGATTCTTTCCATCAGTAATAATAATATTGTACACACAAAGTTCATTGCGTGGCTGAGGAATGCAGCAACATCTCGTAAAAGATGCTGCGAGACAAGATTTTCCATGCAATGAGGGATTATTAACAACACTTTGATGTGCTCGCTTTGCTTCTGCCCCATTGAACTTTATGGTAGTGATGTCACCTTGTTCCCAGATCTCAGAAATTACTTTGCTCAGTAAAATGTTATCATAACTGAAATCATGGCCAGAGCTACAACAATAAGACGCAAGTTGAGTGAGCGGATAAATGAATACGCCAGAGAATTATTATCCGAAAACGTGAGATGCTTCTAATATAAAAAGTAAACACACTTTGTTATTTGATGTCTTTATATAATAATAAGGGAACCTCTGCACCTCTGATATGAGGGTTTATTCATTAATCTTTTAGGGCTGAGGTACATTAGTATTGTAGCTGCCTTTGGATTTTAGAAAAGATCCTCTACCTTCAGTCTGGATTGGTGACAAGTCCAAATCTCAGGGGTGAAATAGAAATTCAGAACACAGATATTCATCTGAGGACGGCTGCCAGTCCCCTGTGGACTTGCAGGGCTGCCAGGACATTCATAAAACTGATACTTCATGGGCATTGGAGTCTAATCAGTGTTTTATTTTTTCTGTCTGTCTGCTTTAAAAAGTTAGAGGGCTTTGAGGAACTTTTGATTGCAAAGCTATTTTGCAATCAAACAGGAACCCTGCGACGTCCCACAAAGAACTCCTCTAGGAAGCGTTCACGAATCCTGACAGGACCTCAAATGCTTCATCCTTCTGGAGGATTGTTTATACTGAAGAACCCAAAAGGTGCTCGCTGCAGGATTTTTAAAAGCTCCCACGTCTTCAGAGTGACAACTTCAGTGTTTTTAAATCTGTGGATAAGAGGAAGCCTGACAGACAGAACATAAGGCTCATACTCGCGCTCTGCCAAAACCTTGAGAGATTGCTGATACTTTCTGGGCACCGGAGTCACATCAGGCCTTTTCTCTGTCTGTCTGTCTGTGTGCCGGCTGCACATGGCTTCCTCCCAAGCCATCCTCTTCCAAAGCAGCAGAGAGATGACTAATAATGACTGGAGGGAGGTGATTGCCAATAGCCTCTGAGCTTCATTCCCCTCACCTCTCACGGGCTCAGCAGTGCATTTCTTGGGATAATTATTCTGATTGAGTGCAGATGATGCACTGTGCTTTTTTTTCCTCCAGCCCCTGCAGAGCCGAGAGAGGGAGGAAATGTAGCTGGAGGAGCGGGGATCGCCGGAGACATGGAGGAAATAAGCGTGATAAAACACATTATCAGCTTTGACATGATTTATATAAAGTGTAGATTCACACTCTGTAGACATGAGTATCCTTCTTATTGCTAAAGAGAGAAGACACTGATGGCCAATAATGGAGACACGATGGTGGGATCCCAGTGAGGTTTTGGTGATTTGCAAGTCAAAAGATATGTGTCTGGGGTTAAACTGCGATGTAAGTTAACTGCTTCACGTTCATTTCTATTAATAGGCAACGGTACTGGATTTAAATGTTTGGGTTTTTATAATCCATCCATCCAGTACCTATACCATTTACCCTTTAGAGGGTCATTGGAGGGCTGAAGCCAATCCCAGCTGACATTAACTGATTGATTGATTGATTGATTAAGCACACTCTGGACAGGTTGCCGGGCAATCTCAGGACTGACACATTGAGATTTGTGCTCACAATCACACCTAAGGGTGATTTAATGTTGCCAGTCAACCTAACCTACATGTTAGTGGACTGTGGGAGGAAGTCAAGAACCCAGAACCTTTTTGCTTTTAGGCAGCAGTGCTTACCACTGCACCTCCCTGTTTTTATCATTCTGTGCAGAAAGTGGTCAAATGTGAGATCACAAAAATACCTTTAAAGATGCAACCTTCTGCAAGAAAAAAGGTAAAAGACGGACTGACTTTCCCATAAGCTCCACATTGTTAATGCCATGAGACTGAATCTTGCCATAGCATACACAGTGATGAGATTACTATACAGAGATAACTCACTCAATAATTACAACTTCTGATAGTTTCCTTTAGTCAATCAGCAATCTTCAACCAATCAGATCAACAAACCATATAACGTAGTCAAACTCTTACTAAGGTCAGTCAGGATAAGAGCGAAAACATCTTTTCTATTGAGAAAAGCCTTCCGTTCTGTTTTTTTGCTCTTCTTTCAATAAAAAAAACAACTCGAACTGATGCTAGCAGCATCTACGCTAACTTCTTTAGCAGCCGCTATTGTTGTTTTTCGAGCATTTCTCACGCCACAGCTGCCAGTAGTTCCTCACTGGATGCCGGCTGGTCAGAACCACTGTGGTTTGGACACAAGTGCATCGCTTGAAGGCAAAATGGATTCTCACATGATCTTGCAAGTCCTGGCCTGTACACACCTACAGAAACAAAATCTGGAGCAAGGACACACACCAGTTCAGTTACTGTTTCATAATGTAGTTAGAACCTGTACTCCCTAACTGCCTTTTCCTAACAACTGAAATATAGTCACTGATGTGCTGTTGGAACAGTTATATATCTTAGACATCTAGAAACACTGCACATGCACTTTGTAGCCAAATTAATCCCAGTTTGAACCTTGATATATAAATGTCTTTTGACCCGCCATTACTGTACCTACTTGGACATTTTTCTCTCTGATTTCCCCTCTTGCACTAACTGAATGTTTATTGCCTTTGGTCATCTTCACTTACAGTTTATTTTTCTGTCCTCAGGCAGGGAGTCCTATCAACGGATACCAAAAACCTCCTTGAGGACAGAAGCCTGGAGCCAGGACTCGTCTTCTTTTTCTCTTCCCACCTTCTGCAAACCAGAGGATAACTACTAGATGTTTGTGTATGTGTGGTTGGCTTTGTGGAATACTTCCCAGTCATTGTCAAAAAAGAAAGAAAACTTGGGAAAACATACCTGTGAAAGCATACATTCATTGTTTTTCTTCCACTATTGTTCACCTGTCTTAAAAAGAATCTGCTGTCACAATATATGACTGAATTAAACACTGTAAGTCTGCTCCTGTCCTCCTTTTGCTGTGACACGTGCGCATCACATGTGTTCCTAAAGTCAAATTTTCCTGTAATTGTCCGTTATTCAGACCTTGTAATCAACACCACTAACAAGAGCAAAAGCACCTGAGAATGCTCTCTTTTGTTGTTTTGCCAATGAATCCTCACAGGGGAAGCAGCAGCTGGCGTGCAGAGCAAACAACAAACGTGTTGTTTAGACCAAAATGAAGCCCTACTGATTGTTCCCCCATTGAGGATCTGGTACATCTCGGCCCTCATGATCAGATCTCTTCACTTATCACTCGGCTTTCACTTGTCAGCAAGAATCTAAAAAGCATGTGAGGCTCCATCGCTGTGAACCATATGATGCACACATGGTGTAAAGGCAACAACAGTTTACAGACAAAGCAAATGTTTAGGGAAAGCATAGATGTTGCACGACATATGAGCTGCTTAATCAATACACCGTGACTGCACATGTTTGGGTGTTGTTGCATCCAACAGTGAGTTAAATTCACTGGTTCTTGAGGAAGTGACAATTAAATGTTGGACTCACTAAATGCATTAAACAAAATCGCCATGTTGCATCATAGAGCTTTGTCAGACATCTAACTATAAAGCAAGAACCGAGAACCGTTAATCCGTTCAACTTCTCGGGTGCCGGTCTTTTTCTGAGGACGGAAGGGGGAATAGTGTCGAGTCTAAAGTTAAACAGATGAGTGGTTCTCGACAACGCTGCAAGCAATCAGGCTGTTCCGAACAGGCACTGCACTAATTGCAGTCTTGATGTGTTGCAATCCTCCCATGACTTCCTTTTAATGTGTCTCATTCATATTCACATGACTGCATTATATAGACTACAAGATATGTTGATTGATCTTTCAAAGTTTAAAATTTATATTCATATAAAACTAATTTGCATAAAAGTTTTATGAATGTTTCTTGCGCACAAGTCTTATTGATTAAATGGGATAAAAAAGCAAATACCACACACTGTTAATCACTTGTACTCACTTGCCATTGTCAGTACACATTGTTGATAAAGCAAGTACAAGTGACTAAAAGTGTGTGGGATTGTTTTTTGGTTATTTTCCATTAACAAAACAATACAATGTTACATTCACTGTGAACTCATTTAAAGGACCAGTGTGTAGGATTTAAGTGGCATCTAGCGGTGAAGTTACAGATTGCAACCAGCTGAGAGCACTCGCCTTCCAAGTCTTGAAAAACATAAAAAGCTCACTGTGTGGTTTGTCCGTTTTAGGGTACTGTAGAAACGTGGAGGTGAAACATGGCAGATTCTTATTTTCAATTATACACTAATGAAATCATACCTATGAATATTTTATTCCTTTTCTGCAAATAGATCCAGCTAAATGTTACACACTGGACCTTTAATTTGTTTTCCTACAGTATAGGTTTACTTGAGACTGTCCAAAACCAACTCTGGTATTAACTGCTGGCAACAAATGCAAGAGCAGTATTTTTATGGTCATCTTCAGGCACTTTAGTACTCTCAGGAAAAGATTGTGGTTTTGATTAAATATTAAAAACATGGACTTGAAGCACAAAACAGGATGCATTGATATTTTAAAATATTTAACAAAACCACCCTTTTCCTAACCTCAGTCAATAACCTTTAATAGCCAAATCCACATGGGATGCAGAACACAGTCCTGTACTTTGTGCTTTTGCCTCTACCTTTAAAAGAGGTAATCTTAAAGGTAGGTGTTGGATTATACACAGTTTTACCTTAACAGTCAATACAATGAGAAATGTGAAATACAATGAGATGATTTGTGGTTTAGTAAAGCTTTAAAAAAGTTTTTGCTTACTAGTTGCTTCAAAAGCAAATACTTTCCACTCACCCTCGTAAACAGTTTTAAGCCTGGGGTTTAGTTCAGCATCTTAGTCATCCACCAGAACACTGAATTGCATTAACTCTCCCTGTGTGATAACGAGGGTGAACACCTAAGTTAATCCTACTATCAAGAATGAAGCTGACTTTGCATGAAATACAAACACACTTCATGTTTTGTTCAGTAACACTGCCAATTGTCAGTATTGCACACCTATTAAACAAAAAGGCGTAGGGGAATATGAGGATTTAGACATGGTTTGATGGGTCATAAAGGTGCAAATATTTTCTAACAACAATACAAGCTCTTTTGAAAGATATTAACATAAACAAAGAGAATGAGGGAGGAAAGGAAATTAAAATGCTTCTCTGTACGGACACACAACTAATCTACTGAGATTTTAGGCAAAAATTCATGTACCACTAGATGTTGCACTAAAGCACCAGAATCAGTGGGCACCACAAATAGCCTTGAAATGGCTGGCTACACTGGCTGCCAAGTAATGTTAGCTAATCCTTGGGGGCAAATTTGCCCATCAATCTACATCCACTAAAAACACTTGTTTTTGCCACTGATTCAGATTGTTATTACAGAAAGGGTCCCTCCAGAGACAGACCTTTAGTTTAACCAGAAACAGCCGTAATATCGCTAACAACCAGACTCCACAGACAAGTACGGTAATTCTACCTTGCATGTCATCGTAACATCGTAACTTAATTCAGAATGGGCAGAAACAAAATACAACTCATTAAAACAGTGTCTGTTAGTCACCAACTCTGCTTTGGTCAAATTAAATCCTTACTTTATTGACATAGATTAGAAAAGTTTCAGTCACTCTACTCATTTTTACATGGAGGGACTCACATGCACTAACATGCACATGCAGCCAGACCGACTTTGTAACAAACCACAGAGAGGCTGTGATAACAACACAGGCAATAGGAGTGTGACGTCATTCTCTGTTCAGGACACCATGACTCCACTATACAGTAGTATCTCATGTATATTGTATATATATCCTTTAAAGTAAAACTCATTGCTTATATGTACTGGACAGGCTCTGATGAGTGTTGTTGCTGGGTTCACATTAAGTTCAAGGACTTTTCAATAGTTTTAGATGTTTTACTTGGTGATGAGAGAAGATTTCTGCACACTTCAGTCAATATGGTGGTCTTTAACTTGTAGCTTAGCCTGCATCAGACTAAGCCATTTTTAAAATCAAGTATATATATATCAAGGTGGGTAAGGTTTGCCCTCGAGTGTCTTGGTTTAAACATCAATTTATGTTTCATTTGGCCTTTTGGAACTGTACACAGGTCATTTTACTAGCAAGAGCAGGAGTACCTTTAGGCAGGAAAAGACGTGGTGTGCACATGAGACGAGCAAGAAAGAAATCCCTCTGGAGTTGAAGTTCCCCAGGGTACATCATAGTATTTTGCAGATTTTAATTTTATTTTCTTGGGATGGTCTAGAGTACAGAATAAGACAACTTACAATGAACACTACACACTGGCACTCGGATCAACTAATAGTGTGCCTGTGCATGAGATTTCCTAACTCAAAAGAGAAGAGAATTTAGAGTTAAGTTTAGGGAATGCATTGCATTGGCCTGCCGAGCTAACAGTCAGTAATGCATAGCTTCAGATCTTGGGCTGGAGTTTGAGGCTAAAATTTGGCATTTTCCAGACAAGATCAGTATCTACAGGCTGGGTTCAGGGTGAGTGCCATTCCAGGTGGTCCATGTCCCCCTGCCCCTGAAACAGCATGAACACCACTAGAAAGCAATGTGTGCCTGTATTTGAGGGTTGCGTAAGAATTCAAGCATGGTATCGAGGTTGAGGGGGGCAGAGGTCAACAGAGTCGAGGTGACGCTGCTCTCGGCCGGACGTGTCAGGCTGCAGCACCCGGCGTTACGTCTTGTCACAAAGGTGTGGCCCCAGATTTTGCGGCGGCGCCCCGGACCACGAGGGACACCAGTGGCAGCGGCGGCAGCAGCCTGCCCTCTGACTGCCAAGCGCTAAAAGAGTCTGACCTAAATGGGCTGTGAATGGCAGAGGTGTAGCCAGGGATTAACAACGTGTGGCAGCTGGAAACAGGTCGCGTTTGCACACAATAAATGCTGTCGCACCCTTTCATGCAGAACGAGACTCAGACATTATAGGTGTTATTAATAGAACAATTATAGGTACAGCAAGAATAGCATGTTTATGTCCAGCCGTCGTCACAGCCAGGGAAAACACATTGCAGATATTTAACACCAGGATATACCCATTAAAAAAGTGAGACTTGTTAAAATGGAGACCAGGAGACTTGTATTTCCACGTGTGACTTTTGTCTGTGCACTTGCTTGTACAAACACAGATTATGTGGTACAAGTATGTACTGTACGTAGTTTATGTGGATTATAAATAACACCACATGGGTTTGGAAAGGGTTCAGTTATTGTGAATAGAAAGCGTTAAAGCATTAAACATTTATGAGAGCTGGGGTCCATTTAGAGAAATATCTCTCTGTCTCTGCTCACAAAACAAACTCCCACATAGTTGTTTGCGGTTCGGAGCTTAACCTAAAAGACAAAATGTTAGTGGAACACGGAGTCATGTCTTATTCACTCCTCCAAGATGGGACTTCCATCCAGCTGAGTCAAAAGATGTTTACGCCCGTGTCCTCCGTGTGTACCGCTGTTTGGTTCCATCAGATTGATTACTATGGATGTTTTGGGACTTTTCCCTCCCTCTCAGAGGAAGAAGCAAACTGCTCGGCCGCATGCTAATGTGAAACAGAGCGGCACGATGCGGTTTTCCCTCTGACACTGTTTGGATGGGTATGTAAATGTTTAACAGTGGCGTGAGTAAACACACACAAGGGTTAGGTGTCGGGATTTCGAGAGGTCCTTGTTTGGCGGCAGAGGATCTTCGCTGTTAATGCCCCTGTTGTGTACGACGAACATAACGGCACAAAGCTGTATGTAAACACAAGGCTATTCTTACTTTAAAGAAACACTGACATCACATGTAAAGGAATCCTCGCCATAAACAAAGTGAATAGCTACGGCGAGTGAAAACACAAACCTGGCACTGTGCTAAAGAGGGTTCAGCACATACAGTATTAGGCGACTGAGATGTGCGTGCTTTGTTTTCATAACAGATGTTGCACTTTTTAAAGGGTGCCACAAACTATACACTAAGATCACAAGGCAATCACGAGAATACAAAGATAGTGTTTCATTAAAGCAAGTAAAAATGCAAAAAGTTACATAATGAATAAGAATAAGATGCTGAGCAACTGGAAGCAGTGGTAGAGGAACTTGCTTTCTTTGTCCTCCTGCAGTGTTGTTTGGACTACGACTGGAGAAGAGTTATTTACTGTCACGAAAGAGTGTGATGGTAGAGAGCTGGTTCGTTGTCTTTGTGGTGGACGAGTGCGTCTTTTAAAAAAAGATGTGATGCAATGTGACAGGAAAGCAGGAAAGCTGCATGTGATGTCTCTCTGTTAAAACTTCAAAAGTGACTGCGTGTCGCCATCCCAGCATGCCTGTTGTTGTTTTCATCTACTTGCTTCCTCCTTTGTCTTTTTGTTGGCTATCTGATTGTTCATGTGTTTACGAACTGAGGTGGAAGAGGAAGTGATCGGAGGAGCAGGGCCTAGTCAGTGTGCCCGCAACTGAAATTTAGATTTTCTTGTGTGTTGTCTGGGCTTACCTAAGCACAAATCTTATTATCATATTATTTATCTTTGGGCACATGGGACAACAGTTTTTTCCTAAAACTGTAGAAAATAAGCAGTAAGAATTGAGGGATTTTCATTATTTTCAGTACAGGCTCCTATCTATATATTTCATTATTAAAAAACGCTTAAAATAACATTGAAGTCAATGGAGAATGTTTTTCCCTGCTGT